GGGACTTTTCATCTTGGAAAAGAGATGATTAAAGGGGGATATGAGAGAGGTCTATAAAATCATGACTGGTGTGGAGAAAGTAAATAAGGAAGTGTTATTTACTCCTTCTCATAACACAAGAACTAGGGGCCACCAAATGAAATTAATAGGCAGCAGGTTTATTTGGATTTGGAGTTGACTCTGCTGGTTGTCACGGGAGTCGCTGCATTTTCAACTTTTCTCACCTCCCAGAGAAAATCATGGGAAAGGGATGAGCAGGGGCGGGCAGAGTCAGCTTCCATCAGAGGCCCTGGCAGACTTTCCCCTCTTCTGCCTGTTCTCAGGGTCTCGGTAATCTCGTCCCTACTGGGTGCACCTCCAACTTGTTTGCCATCCTCTTCTTCCTGAATTTCTCAGTTCTCAGCGGGGCGCAAAATTTTCTCTGACTCAGAGGGGCTTGGCTGGGGATTTTCTGAAAGGTCAATGTTCACATGGAGATTGCAGTCACATCAAGGGATTTATTTATATTTTGCTCTAACTACATAGGCTTTCCTGTGTGCACACGTGTGCATACGTATCCAACGGGTGCCTAAGTATGTGTGTTTGTGTATGTATGAGAGAGAGAGGCCTGTCTGTTCATTTCCTTTAGATTGCTTTGATCTCTGACGCAGGTAAGAGGCGGCCCTGACTAAGTAGGGGCTGGCATGGGTGATGACCTGATGCCTCCCTGCCTTCCCTGCCCACGGTAACCGGAATTTTGCTGTCTGGTCAGTAGATCTGACTGGACACTGTGAGGTCCCCTTTTCAACTGGATTTTCCGGTCAAAAACCGAGGCACTTGGCCACCCTAAGTGTACCTCACCCCCACAGTGAGGCCTGGCAGGCGTGTCAGGGGGAAGGGCTAGCTCAGTGGTTTGAGCATTAACCTGCTAAACCCAGGGTTGAGAGCTCAATCCTTGAGGGGGCCACTTAGGGATCTAGAGCAAAAATCTGTCTGGGGATTGGCCTTGCTTTGAGCAGGGGTTAGACTATAGATGATCTCCTGAGGTCCCTTCCAACCCAGATATTCTATGATTCTATACTGGGCTAGCTGGACCGTTGGTCTGACCAAGTATGACCTTTCTTATGTTTGGCTGTGGAAAGAGGGGCAGTTTGCTGTCCTACATTTCCCCATGAGCACATATATGGCAAGCTCCTCAGCTGGTATAAATTGGCACAGGTATACTGGTTGAAACTATAGTAAAGAACAGAATTGTCAGACACATAGATGAACATGATTTGTTGGGGAAGAGTCAACATGGTTTTTATAAAGGGAAATCATGCCTCACCAATCTACTAGAATTATTTGAGGGAGTGGACAAGGGTGATCCAGTGGGTATAGTGTACTTAGATTTTCAAAAAGCCTTTCACAAGGTCCCTCACCGAAGGCTCTTAAGCAAAGTAAGCTGTCATGGGATAAGAGGGAAGGTCCTCTCATGGATCAGTGTCTGGTTAAAAGATTGAAAACAAAGGGTAGGAATAAATGGTCAGTTTTCAGAATGGAGCGAGGTAAATAGTGGTGCCCCCACGGGTCTGTACTGGGACCAGTACTGTTCAACATATTCATAAATGATCTGGAAAAAGGGTTAAACAGTGAGGTGGCAAAATTTGCAGATGATACAAAACTGCTCAAGCTAGTTAAGTCCAAAGCAGACTGCGAAGAGTTACAAAGGGATCTCACAAAACTGGGTGACTGGGCAACAAAATGGCAGATGAAATTCAATGTTGATAAACAGAAAGTAAGGCACGTTGGCAAACATAATCCTAACTATACATATAAAATGATGGAGTCTAAATTTGCTGTTACCACTCAAGGAAGAGATCTTGGAGTCATTGTGGATAGTTCTCTGAAAACATCCACTCAATGTGCAGCAGCAGTCAAAAATGCGAACAGAATGTTGGGAATCATTAGGAAAGGGATAGATAATAAGACAGAAGATATCATATTGCCGCTATATAAATCCATGGTACAGCCATATCTTGAATACTTCATGCAGATCTGGTCGCCTCATCTCAAAAAAGATATAACAGCTTCCATATGAGGAGAGATTAATAAGACTGGGACTTTTCATCTTGGAAAAGAGATGATTAAAGGGGGATATGAGAGAGGTCTATAAAATCATGACTGGTGTGGAGAAAGTAAATAAGGAAGTGTTATTTACTCCTTCTCATAACACAAGAACTAGGGGCCACCAAATGAAATTAA